TACTTAAAAAAAACAAAAAAGAGGGGTGCCTGGGTGGCTCAGTCAGTTGAGCATCCAACTTCTGCTCAGGCCATGATCTCATAGTTGGTGAGTTCAAGCCCCACATCGGGCTCTGTGCTGACAGCTTGGAGCCTGGAGCCTGCTTCAGATTCTGTGTCTCCCTCTCTCTCTCATGCTCTGTGTCTGTCTCTCAAGAACTAAATAAACATTAAAACAATTTAAAAAAAAAAAAAACCCTCTGATCTGTACTATTTTCCACTTTCTGTGACGTAAGTGTGACTACGGTGCCATTACCGTAGTCAAATACATCATCACTGAATCTGGATTTGGAAAGAAATGTACAGTATTTCTGTCGTATAGATTCAAGAGACCAGTGGTTCTCAACCAGTCATTCTGCTGTTCCTTCTCCAGGGGAACCTTGACAATGCCTGGAGACACTTTTGGTAGTCAAAATATTGGGGTTGCAACTGGCATCTAGTGCATAGAGGCCAGGATGCTGTTCAACATCCTACCATACACAGGACAGCCCCCCACAGCAGAGAATTATTTGGTCCAAAATGTCAGTAGTGCAAGGTTGAGAAACCCAGAAATAGACATAAATAATCTGAAGAATATGGACAACAGGACATCATAGTTAAAATAAGTAGAAAGTCATGAGTTTAAAAAAAAAAAAAAAGTCATGAGTTTTGAGTATTTGTTGCCTTTGTTTTTAATATAATTCATTTAATTGTAAGTTTATGTAATTTTTAATAATGACTGTGTTTTACAGTCGGCTTGCAAAATCCCCGATAATTTCATGGTCAGTTCTCCTGAGCCCAGAGAGCCGGCTCCAGCATACTGCTGCCTTTGGCCTGTTCCCCCAGCATCTGCCACAGAGCCTGGCACTCTGTGTCCAGAGAGGACACTCAGAAGGATTTGAGGCCTGAATAAAGTAATCCCAGAGCCGGGCATGAGTGGTGAGGGACCAGGACTGGGGGGGAGGAGATCTTCTTGTGACCTCAGGCTGTTTACACAAACCACACTCTGGCAGCTTTGTAAAGGGATTTACAAGCCATTTCAGATTCCTCTCTCACCTGTAAGCCTCTCAAAGGCCTTTCTCCGGAGGATAGACTCTGGCAGCTTTCCCTAGCAGGAGTGTGGGTGGACGGTTAGGACAGGGCAGGTAGGGAGGAAGTAAGCTGTGTTCCAGCAGGCTTATGGCTTAGCAAAAGAAATGATGGGTGTGTACCCTGAGAAGCCGCTATGTGCCCTAGAAACCCCATCACCCACTTTCTCCACTGCCCCCTCCTTTGGGACTTTTGTTTGTTTTCTTACTAACACATGCATGAATTTAGCACATGTTTTTTGAGAGTCTCCAACACTCTGGGCACCGTCCTAGGTTCCTGCTCTCATGGAGTAAACTTTTCAAATGGAGAAGGATATAGTACAGATCATAATTAACAAAAATCTTTCCAACAGAATTAAAAATAACTAGCCTTTATTGAGCACCTCCCATGCCAGGCATTGTTCTATTGTGCTGAGGAGAAAATACCAGACAAGGTGATTGAGAGTGACCGGAGGGGCTTCTTGTATTAGGACAGAGTTCTGGCTCCAGGGGAGGCTGAGAAACGTAGCCTGTAGCTAGTCAGCCACGTGCTGCCCAAAATATGGTGGAAGACAATGGATATGGAGACAGCTGGTGGTCCCTGCCAGGCTTTTTTTTTTGTTTTTTATTTATTTTGAAAGAGAGAGAGCGTGAGCAGGGGAGGGGCAGAGAGAGAAAGAAAGAATCCCAAACAGGGATTTGTCAGTGCAGAGCCCGTGGTGGGGCTTGATCACAAGAACCCTGAGATCATGACCTGAGCCAAGATCAAGAGGCAGATGCTTGAACAACTGAGCCCCCGAGGTGCCCTCCCCTCCCATACTTCTTGAAGCCTGGTGGTTGAGAAGGGCCTCATGGGCTGATGTGAGGGTTTTGGGTTTGTCTCTGAGTGGGGATAAGAAGCCATGGGCAGCTTTGATAAAGTAATGTGACCTGACCTGATCTTTAAAAGCATCCCTCCGGCTGCTGCTATGGGATGGATGTTGGGGGAGCAGAATGGAAGCAGGTGGTGCACTGTCGGTGGGAATGTGAAATGGTGCAGCCACTGTAGCCCCTCCAAAGGCTAAGTAGGAGTTAACATGTGACTCGCAATTCCGCTCCTAGCTATCTACCCAGAGAATAAAAACACACATACATCCACGTGAAAACTTGTAACAGATGTTCATAGCAGCATTATTCATTATTCAGCCAAAAGGTGGAAGCAACCCAAACATCCACCAACTGATGAATAAAATGTGATCTGTCCATATGATGGAATATTATTTGCCATATAAAGAACAAAGCACCAACCTATTAAAACCTTTATGTGAAGTTAAGCGAGTCACAGTAGACCACGTACTATATGATTGCATTTATATAAAGTGTCCAGAATAGAGAAATCTCTAGAGACAGGGGGTAGGCTCATGGTTACTTAGGGCTGGGTGGGATGGGGCAACTGGGACGTGACAGTGAAAGGGTATGGTATTTTGGTTTCTTTTTGGGCTGATGAAAATATTCTGAAATTGATAATGGGGATGGTTGCACGTTCTGTGAATGTACTAAAACCCACTGAATTGAGTGCTTTACATGGATGAATTGTATGGTATGTGAAGTATACCTCAATAAAGCTGTTAAAAACTTTTTAAATAAAAAGTTTAAAAAAACTTTTTAAAAATAAAAACTTTTTAAAAATGTTTATTTATTATTTTTGAGAGAGAGAGAGAGAGAGAGGGAGAGTGAGCAGGGGAGGGGCAGAGAGAGAGGGAGAGACAAAATCCCAAGCAGACACCACACACTGTCAGTGCAAAGCCTGATGCGAGGCTTGAACCCACAAACCGTGACCTGAGCCGAAATCAGGAGTCGGGATGCTTAACTGACTTAGCTACCCAGGCGCCCCAGAATAAAAACTTTTTAAATAATGGAAGCAAGGAGCCCTATTGGAGGCAAGAGATGATGTGGCTGTCTGGAGGAATCAGAGCAGTGAGCAAGAGTGGGCTAAGCTTCCATTCCTCCCTGCCTCATTTCCGTTTCTCTCCCCCTCTTTGGTCTGTATTGACAGGAAACAGAAGAGAATAGAACTAAAGGATTTGATTACTTACTGAAGGCAGCTGAAGCTGGTGACAGACAGTCCATGATCCTGGTGGCTCGGGCTTTTGACACTGGCCAGAACCTCAGCCCAGACAGGTACCGTGGCTGTCGCTCAAGTGGAGCTGGTGGGAACCTGGGCCACAGGCGGGGACTTCCCCCTCAGTATCAGCACAGACCCAGGTTCCAGGCTCAGCTCCCCCGGTCCCAGTCCCCTACTGTGGACAAGTTATTTCACTTGTGGACCGGTGATCTCAGTGTCTTCATTGTGTGAAATGGGGATAATTATATAACCTGCATTCCAGGGTGGTTATGTGAGGGTTCATTGACATGATGCCTGTAATCCTCTCCGAGCCTGGCAGATAAAGCAGGGACATCCCAGCCATTCTGCCAAGAGATTTGCTTTAGGTCCAGAGTGGTTGTCCCTAGATGTTAGGATTATGGGTGACTTTAGTTTCCTCTTTCTACTTTTATTTTTGTGATGTTATTTTTCACTTCTGAGAGGGAGAGCAGGAAAGGAAGGAAGATCCCCTGGAGATTCAGGCCTGGTGTGAGTTTCCAGAGTGGCTCTGAGTCTCCTGAAGGCTCCCCCGCTGCAGGTGCCAGCACTTTCCCAGCTGTCCCTCCGGCTGCGGTGCCAAGACTGGTTTCTGCAGTGGAGGGCAGGAGGTGTGGCCCCGCTTCATCTCATCTCCTTGGCTTAGCCAGTGGGAAGTCCCAGAAGTCCCAACGGTGGAGATCCTTTGAAGGACTTCAACTCGTAATGCGACCCCTTGCTCAGCCTCTGGCTCCCACTGGATTTCAGCTGTTCCTACTGTCCTCAGGGGCCCGTGGCTTTCTGGATGGGAGCAGGGTGGGCACTATGATTATCTAAACCTGCAGGGTTGGAGCAGCCTGGAAGTTTCTTCCTCTTTGGGTCGAGGTCTCATCTTTTCTGGCTTCCTTTAAGGAAGGTCAGGACTGTGGCTGCATCGTGTCAAGCTCTCAGTGTCTAAAATGTCTCCATTTGTGACATCTCACCTCTACTACATATCATGCGTCCACAATTTTATTAGATACCTAGTGTGACAATCACGTCCCCTTCTTTTTCGACTGTACCTTCGTATCTGTGATTTTGAGAGATCTGAGATCTGTGATCTCACTGAGAACAAGAACTGGGGTCTCCTGCATCTCTATAATCCCAGCGCTTAGCGCAGGGCCTGGCTTACTAGTTGTTTGAATAAACGAACCCACACTTCTCTCGGACACAGACAGGGGAGGTGTTTTTAGCTCCATTGTACAGATGAATAAACTGTAGTTCTGAGAAGTGAAGGGACTTGGCCAAGGTCAGGTAGCTAGTAAGTGGCAGAGCCAAATCTTGGGTCTTGTCCCCTCTCCTCCAATGTACTGTGTACTGGCTTGCTTCTCAGATTCAGAACTATACTGGCATAGAGAGAGGTGGAAGAAAAAAAGAAAGAAAAAGAAAGAAAAGAAAGAAAGAAAGAAAGAAAG